TTTTAGATTGGCTAGACCTTCGGTCACAAGTTGGTGAGAAGGGCTGGGGGTCTGCCGCCGTGCCCGTTACAGAGGGTTCTGCTCATAAGAGTTTACAATCTATTAGAATATATGTAATCATTCAAGGCTTTTTCCTGATCATTCCTCCTTATATACATACTTTCATCTAACATATGAATATTGTATAGCCAATCTATGTTATTACTCATTTCTTTGTTTTATTTATCAGTTGTATTCTTCCATTCTTACATTTGCTATGTAAGGCCCCTTTCATGAGGGCAGACCCCACCAAGTGGATCTGTCTGCTCAGCGGGGGATCTGTCCGCTGATCTCCACTGAACAGGCGAATGGCAGGTCCGCTTGTGCAGAGTGGACACAGACAGGCCGCTGTTCTCTATGGGGCATTTGGATGTAAACAGATTACCTGTAATCTTACATTCGACTGTCATCCGATCCGCTAGACAGAAGGGGAACAGATCCCCCATCTGTCTGTTTTTAGCATTTCGGATGAAGACGGGTGTAAAGGGCCACTTGTCCGTTCACATCCACCTCCCCATAGAGAACAATGGATGGTCCGCTTGGGTCTTCCTGAATAACAGACACGCAGACCTGAATGGTCCACCTGTGTAAAAGGGGCCTTACTCACAATTGTCAATACCCATTAAATTGATAGAAATAGGAGAGCACTTTGTTTTGTCTGTTTGAAAAAAACACTAGTTGATCCTGCCAGAAATCTAATGAATTGGTATCTTCCTGTGCACTGTGCAGTGATATCTCAAGCAGTCTTATCAGCCCTGCACAAATTACCTATGTGAACTACAGAACAACTCCCCTCTATGATATGGCAATAATGGGGTGTCTGAATTCCTAACACACTTTATGTTCTAGGGTGACATTGCTAGTTCCCCAGTAACACAGTACATTAAGTGAGGTGTGCCATTCTAAGACAGAAAGTGCATTAGTGGCAGTATCACCAGGAGAAAAAAGAACAAAAAATGCTTGAAAAAAATCAAACAAATGCAGCTACCTCACCTGAGGACTGGTAAGCTGCAATATAGAACATCTTCCTTAATCTATTTCTCACTTTTATTAGTATATCATGTTGATTGAATAGATTGGTAAATACGATATGTTGAGTTCAATGACCTTTAACACAGTTATCAACACATTACACCATCCTTTGGGTCTACCAAGAAAACTTGTACTGAATGTTCTTGGATAAGCAAATTCACTTGGCTATGAGTTCTCACTCCCCTGTTTACCTTTGGGATCAAAACATAAAACTTTATATACTTCTTTAGGAAATACAAATAGGAAAAAATAGTCTGAGGACTGATTAAGCCAAATCTGGGAAGGCAAACTGACAGGCCAGCAACATTTGGGTTGCAGTAAAAATATTCAATCAGCCACACATATTTTAGACTTATACATCATATACATCAGTAATACAGCAGTTTGAAAAATGGAAAAAATAATTGCACTAGCTATAAAACACAGTCATAATAAAGTTGTATATAGCTATATATATATATATATATATATATATATATATATATATATATATATATATATAGATACACACACATTTACACTGTTTAAAAAAAAAAAGGAACACTTTTTAATCAAGAGTATAGCATCAAGTCAATTAAACTCCTGGGATATAGATCTGGCCAGTTAACCAATTCCTGACCGCCATATAGCATAACTACTGCTACAGGGTGGCAGAGCTGCCCAAAATTACATATATATATGTGATTTTGTGTTTCCGGGTAGGGGGCATGCGCATGCAGCGCCCTACCCACACCGCCATTGGTGGCTACAGCTGTTGATCACTGGGTCCCAGCCGGAGATTCCCCACCAGCACCCGGCAATCATCGAGGAACAGTGACAGAGGAAAGGTCTATATGTAAACAATAGAGATCTCTCCTGTCAGCACCAGCACGCTGCTTTGTATTGCTCTGCTTAGCATAGCAGAGCAATACAAAGCAGAGTGCTTACACAGTATAAATAGTAAAACAGCACACAAACATATTTTAATGCTACTACATGATTGCATGCACCTATGTGGGGATTTGAACTCATGACCTCACGGGTGCAAGCACAGTGCTTTACCAACTGAGCCACTGTCAGAGATACCCTATGAGTGCCAAGATGTTAACCTCTTCTTGCTCAGTGTCATTAGTACAGTGTCTACTTTTTATTAGCACTGATTACTGTATTAGTGTCAGTGGGGATGTCATTGGCAGTTAGTCAATTCCCCCCCAGTGTCAGAATGCCCGCTGCAGTTTTGCAGTCCCTCTATAAGTCACTGATCGCTGCCATTACTAGTATAAAAACAATTCCAGTATATATACCGCCATTTGTAGACGCTATAACTTTCACGTAAACCAATTAATTTACACATATTGGGATTTTTTTTAGCAAAGACATGTAGCTGCATACATTTTGGCTTACATTTATGACAAAATTAGATTTTTTTAATTTTTTTAGTAGCAGAGGGGGGTGTTCAGTTGGTCAGTTTCAGCTGCTTTGATGTTAATGAAATTAACAACAGAAGCACTAGACGAGCAACAATGAAACAACCCCCAAAACAGGAATGGTTTTACAGGTGGAGGCCACTGACATTTTTCCCCACTCATCTTTTCTGTTTTTTTACTAGTTTGCATTTGGCTAGGGTCAGTGTCACTACTGGTAGCATGAGGCGATACCTGGACCCTACAGATGTTTCACAGGCAGTCCAACTCCTCCAGGATGGCACATCAATACATTGCATTGCCAGAAGGTTTGCTGTGTCTCCCAGCACAGTCTCAAGAGCATGGAGGAGATTCCAGGAGACAGGCAGTTACTCTAGGAGAATTGGACAGGGCCTTAGAAGGTCCTTTACCCATCAGCACAACCGGTATCTACTCCTTTGTGCAAGGAGCAACAGGATGAGCGCTGCCAGAGCCCTACAAAATGACCTCCAGCAGGCCACTGCTGTGAATGTCTCTGACCAAACAATCAGAAACAGACTCCATGAGGGTGGCCTGAGGGGCCGACATCCTCTAGTGGGCCCTGTGCTCACTGCCCGGCACCATAGAGCTTTATTGGCATTTGCCATTTAACACCAGAATTGGCAGGTCTGCCACTGGCGCCCTGTGCTTTTCACAGATGAGAGCAGGTTCACCCTGAGCACATGTGACAGACATGAAAGGGTCTGGAGAAGTCATGGAGAACATTATGCTGCCTGTAACATTGTTCAGCAAGACTGTTTTGGTTGTGGGTCAGTGATGGTCTGGGGAGGCATATCCATGAAGGAACACACAGATGGAATCCTTGGACCCATTGTCAGACTCTACATTGGTGCAGTGGGTCCTGGGTTCCTCCTGGTGCACGACAATGCCATGCCTCATGTGGCGAGAGTATGCAAGCAGTTCCTGGAGGATGAAGGAATTGATACAATTGAATGGCCCTCATACTCACCTGACCTCAATCCAATAGAACACCTCTGGGATATCATGTTTTGGTCCATCCAATTCCAACAGGTTGCACCTCAGACTGTCCAGGTCCATGATGCCCTGGTCCAGATCTAGGAGATAATACCCCAGGACACCATCCGTTTTCTCATTAGGAGCATGCCCCAACGTTGTCAGACATGCATACAGGCACATGGGGGCCATACAAACTGCTAAGTACCATTTTGAGTTGCTGCAATTAAATTTCAGGAAAATGGACTAGCCTGCTGCATCATTTTTTCACTTTGATTTTCAGGGTGTCTTTGAATTCAGTCTTCTCTGGGTTGATAATTTTCATTTACATCAAATGACGGGGCATCTTTACATTCCTAACTCATTACCCAATCTATATTAGTATAGATATCCAGCATGATATTTTTCCCCATTGAGATCTGATGTGTTTTCGTAGTGTTCCTTTAATTTTTGAGCAGTGTATATATATATATATATATATATATATATATATATATATATATAGAGCAGATACACACACAAATACACACAAACACACAATATATATATACTATATTGCCAAAAGTATTGGGGCACCTGCCTTTACACGCAAATGAACTTTAACTCTGTGCAGGCTAGTCAAGTTCCTTCAGCCCAAATTCGCTCATCCATGTCTTTATGGACCTTGTTTTGTGCACTGGTGCACAGTCATGTTGGAACAGGAAAGGGTCATCCCCAAACTGTTCCCACAAAGTTGAGAGCATGAAATTGTCCAAAATGTCTTGGTATGCTGTCACCTTGGTACACAGGTGTCAAACACAAGGCCCGAGGGCCAAATCTGGTCCTCCAGGTCATTTCATGTGGCCCTCAGACCTCCCCTGCAGCTGTGGCACCCCCTCATCTCCACCTTGTCTTGGCAGCCAGCAGAAGAAAGGAGGACAAATGCCCTCCAAATTCTGCACTTCTCCATGCATCCGTGAGACACTCATCTCTGCAAACCCCCATCGCTGGTCTCAGCAGTTGGCAGCAGAGAGGAGGACAGAACTCTTTCTACAGATCCTGTGCTTCTCTGTGCAGCCGCAGCACCCCCTCGTCTCTAACTCCCCTGGTCTAGGCATTCAGCAGACTCCAGCCCTCTGGTAGTCCTCCTCTAGACCTTGCACCTTCTACTTCCCAGCTCCTCCTCCAACTTCTTCCCAGCAGCAGCAGGTAAGGGGGGTGTACTGTGATGTAGGGGATGGTGGAGTGTTCGGGACATCTAGTCTTACAGGTACAATTGGCCCTTTGAGGGCAACCATAATGCTGATGCGGCCCGCCATGAAACTGAGTTTGACACCCCTGCCTTAGGAGTTCCCTTCACTGGAACTAAGAGGCTAAGCATAACCCCTGAAAAACAATCCCACATTATAATCGCCCTTCACCAAACTTTACACTTGGCACAATGCAGTCAGGCAAGTACCGTTCTTCTGGCAACCATAAAACCCAGACACGTCCATTGGATTGCCAGACAAAGAAGTATGATTCATCACTCCAGAACAACACGGCTCCACTGCTCTAGACTCCAGTGGCGGTGTGCTTTACACCACTGCGTCTAATGCTTTGCATTGCACTTGGTGATGTAAGGCTTGGATGCAGCTGCTCGGCCATAGAAACCCATTCCATGAAGCTCTCTATGTACTGTTGTTGTGTTAATCTGAAGGTCACACGAAGTTTGGAGGTCTTTAGCTATTGAAGTTGGTGACTTCTGCACACAGTGCGCTTCAGCATGCGCTGACTCCGCTCTGTCATTTTACGTGGCTTACCACTTTGTGGCTGAGTTGCAGTTGTTCCCAGTTGCTTCCACTTTGTTATAACACCCCTTACAGTTGACCGTGGAATATTTAGTAGCAAGGAAATTTCACGGATGGACTTATTGCACAGGTGGCAACCTATCACAGTACCACTCTTGAACTCACTGAGCTCCCAATAGCGACCCATTCTTTCCCAAATGTTTGTAGAAGCAGTCTGCATACCTAGGTGCTCGATTTTTTACACCTGTGGCCATGGAGGTGATTGGAACACCTGAATCCAATTATTTGGAGGGGTGTCCCAATACTTTTGGCAATATAGTGTATTTATGAGTTATTTTACTTGTCCAAGGATTTTTTTTCTGTCCATCAATTTTTGAGATTTACACAGCCCTGTCACACAGCACAGCTCCGCCTGACAGGGTAGGAGACCTGATTATTCTGTACTGCAATTAAGTAGCCCTTACAGGCCTTGTTCCTCCCCCAGCCTGGGGCTAGAAAGTGAAAGGTGGATAAGTACACTGATGAACGTATCTCTCTGTCACTTTGTTCTCTCCTCCTATCAGTATAATCTTTGTTAGCACATGAGCACTGCAGTACAACTGACTAGTTTCTTGTGCTGCTTCTCCCTCTCCTAGTCTAACCTCTGCACTACAGGGACTGTAATAGGACACCACTTCAGATAATTACACAGCTTGCATTTAAAAAACACATTTACCAATGTATTAAGGTGTGCTCTAAAAATGTCATAAAAACAACAAGTATCCGATATGTGTTGACAAGTTTCCTTGTTCTTGATATCTGTTTCTTATGATCAGACCACTATTTTGTTCCCTTTTGACACACCTTAGGCACATTGCAGTGTATCTGTAAGTAAGGTTACCTAAGTATGTTTTTTCAATTAATGTGTTTACAGTCAGATCAGGAAATAATTGTATGTCTAATAGCCATTCCCAACACCCACTGATTGAGAAAGATTCACTATTGTTTACACCCTAGACAACTGACATCTAAGTAATTCCTCCAACTGCTTCTTGGGCACCCACATGTCATTCATTTATAATGAGCAAATACACACCTTTAATTTTAAGATCAACATTATTCCTTAGCCATGGGTAGATTCCATAATTTGATTGGTCATCAGGAATTGGGTTATCTTCAATCCATCCACCACAGGCATACTGGAAGAAATTGTCACAGGGATCTACAGAAAGGTTCATCTTGTTCCGTATAACAGCAGCTGTAAAGAAAGAAGAAAGAAATATTTAATTTAATGCAGTACTTAAGCTTGTTCTAATTGAAAACATATTTATATATTTGGGCAGCACAGTGGCTAAATGGTTAGCACTTCTGCCTGGCAGTACTAGGGTTGTTGATTTGAATCCCAACCACGGCACCACCTGCCTGGAGTTTGCATGTTCTCCTTGTGCCTGCATGGGTTTCCTCCAGGTACTTCAGTTTCCTCCCACACTCCAAAGATATGCTGGTAGGTTAATTGGATCCTGTCTAAATTGGCCCTAGTATGAATGTGAGTTAGGAACCGTAGCTTGTACACTCCTTGAGGGTTAGGGACTGATGTGAATATACAATATATATGTAAAGTGCTGAACAAATTGACAGCACTATATAAGTATCTGTAATAAATAAAATATATACAGTATGCTTCATGTAATAATTTTCAGTTTATCTTTACTCAGTCTCTTTCACTGCATGTCTAGGGGTTATCTATGACTAACAATAATTGTCTAAGTGGAGTATCCTTAAATTGGTTTTATGTTTATCTCAGCAGTGGCTCATCAAGGTACTTACTGTAATGGTCTGACATACAGATGACTACAATAACAAACTGGAGTTTGGCATGCATAAGTAGACAGAAGTAGGCATAATGCAAAAATTACATTTTATACCATGATACACTGCACAGTGTATGTATTCATTTTATAATTTCAATATGCAAGAAGATAATATTTTTATATATATATATATATATACAGTATATTACACTAGTTTTAGGAGACCAGTTAGCATCATCCATATGATACTTATCTGCTAAGTTGAATGGCCAATCCAACAGAGGATAGTTTTCAAATACATGTATGTAAACGTGAAATAGCAAAAAAGCACTGAATTAGGTTAGATTTAGGGTTTCAGGGTCGAATATGTATCTGCCAAACTTGGAACAACTATGTTTCCTGTGATCTACTATCCAATTGCTCTTGCAATTTCATGGCACGGTTCTCATAGTGTGAGGTGACTTTAAATTTGCCTTTGACCTATTATTAGATGTATCGAGGGGTTCCTCCCATCTCTCCTTCTGCCTTAAAAACTGAAATCAGAGCTCCAACTACTTTTTCATGGAACATAAGGAATTCCCTAGGGTAGTATCATTGGAAAAAGATATTGGAGGTTATTTACTAAAAGAAAATATACTGTGCACTGCAAGGCAAAGCTTCACTTTGCAAAAAATACTCAATCACATGTAAGGAAAAGTTAAAAAAAAACTGCATTTTTGCTTGCATATGATTGGATGTTAGAAATCAGCAGAGCTTCCCCTCAGATCCATGTGCCTTTAGTAAATTAACCCCATTATCTCTCTTTCTGGCCATGTCCCGGGTACATTTACTTGTAGACATTGACTCCACTCCACCCAGACTGTATACATGGACACTCAGTGAAGCGCTGTTTCAAGAACCAGAGGTCAGAGGAGAAATATTATAAGGACTTCTTTTTGGAAAATGCGGGTTTTGGTGGTTAACCCATTATTTACGTTGGGAGCATAAAGGTGCACTCTTTGGGGCTCCATGAGTAAAATAGGCACCATCTTAAACTGAACTGAACAGTTTGTTATTCCAGAAAAGTAAACAGAAAATGGTCAGGGGAAGGTGAACTATGTACAAATTCTCTAACAAATCTGGTACTCTTTTTGTGAAAGCTCTACATGAGCCCTGCAATAAATGATATATAATTCATTTAATCTCTAAATGTTGAAGCAGACTGTCTACATCACCCGCTTTAGCCAAGGAAATCCATGATGTTTTTATGGCTCCATACAATCTACATTCAGATCTGACTCTGATGGACACTCAACATAAATTACAGACCGCTGAATCTTACATTCAGGCCTCACGGATGCCTGTCCTTCCAGATTCAGACATGTTAGAGACTCCATTCACTGAAGAGGAATTAGGGAATGACATTACCCAGACCAAACCCAGGAAGGCCCCCAGACCAGACGCATATACTTTGACCTATTAGGGAAGTACTAGATAGTTACAGGTTAACTAGGTCAAGAGTAGTTAAGATCCAACTTTGGGCTATTTTTGTGCTTAATGGCTTCTTTGAGGGTTGGAGAAAAAAAGAAGCAGCTCTGGTGCAATAATCACCTTCAGTTTAGAGAAGCCCCCATCCCAAGTACCACTTCTTTACTACAAGAGGTCCTAAGTCTTCCAGGTGGAATGATTCCCAGCATCGTTCAACCCTGAAGACTGAGGAAAGAGTGTAAGTACAGGGTATCCTTACCCTGCCCCCTGAACAAGACATCCTGCACTCTCAATGAATCACAGCAGAGAGCAGCACTGATGTCATCATGTTAGCACAGCTTTATTCATCAAGATCATCCAATCTGCTGAGAGCAGACTGAAGAGAAAGAGGACCCAGTTCATTATGTGAGCAGCCAGAAGACATCAAGGTGATGAAAAAAGCATATGCTACTGATATCAAGAGTGAAGGAGGTATCTAGGAGTAGAAGTACAAAGCCCAGAGTTAAACATAGGGTCATGAGACAGTTAAGCCTAGGGTCATGGGTAAGGGGGTTATGTCGAAGGGTTAGACTAAGGAAAGGTTGAGGAATAGGTTCAGATTATCTGTTAATAATGTTTAGAGTTAGATTTTAAAGTTATTAAGGATGGATAAATATTAGGTGCTCAAAAGTCTGGCACCAGGTTTTGGTACTTAGGTCAGAGGTTACAGGCATTTATTTTTTTACTTCAACCTTTTTTCTTGCATCTAAAGCCCTTGGCCAAGAACTACTGTGCTAAAACTATAGCAAACGGCCAATGGCCCTGAAGCCCATGGAAGCAGATTTATTCAGTCTGCTAGTTAAGCTAATCTACTCCCTCCAATGTCTGACACTAATAGCAGTCCACATACAATAAGTTATTTTTTTTCCACACAGCTATTTGAATATTCTAATATACACACCAATATCACCTGCTTAGGCTATATTAACATATATGAATTTTAGTACTGTGCAATCTCCTGCAGGTTACAGCAAAAGTACATCTTACATTGGGATGAGTGGTAACATGTAAAATGTACAGCTCTGCGCCCAATCTGCATGAAAATGCATTTATGAGAATGTAACCTTAGACAGAGGCACCTGAAGTGGATGTATTCCACATTCCCCCTTTTTTAATGTAAATATGAATAAATAAACACTGTAAATACTAAAAATTAAATAATCAGTATTAAATATAACACCAGATGAATGTTTTTTTGTAGTGAAACAGGTGGTACTGGCATGTCTCCTTGTTGTCTCCACCATATGAAGGCATTGTGACTTATCCTCTTAGGGGTCGACATTGTTTGGTTTCCAGCAAACATCTTTGATAAATGTAGAGGAGGAGAGTGTATCACAAGGGACTAGAATGGAACAGTTTTGCTTTGTTTTTCCAGGATATAAAATTGATGTTACAGTGAGCTGTAGAGAGAGCAGCAGTGTCATGAGGGTTCTCAATCAATGGAGCCTGATCAATATTTCTACACAGGTGGGTCAGAATAGTAATAACAGTCAGTGCGTTCAAGATGCCAGAGAAGGGATGAAGTCAGCAGCTCACATATATTAAGATCAGAGCATTTCTATCCAGCACATTTTACCAAATATCACGACCAGGATTGTTGCATAATTGTCAGGTATTCCAAGGATAACTATTGCATGCAGACAGTATACACATATTAGAGATCACTTCCACAATATACATGTTTCCACAATGCACATCACAATAATTTCATTTTCTGAAGAATAATCTATAATCATGTTTTATATGATTGAAGTGTATATAAAGCTATTTAACCTCTGCCAATTTTTAACTGTTGCCTTTTGTCCAAACTGGGGAGGCTCACCCTATGAAATTCTCCTGGTGAGCATTGTCACCAGCACTAGAAATAAGGATCAATTCAACATTCTTAGTTGTTTACAAAACAGGAATAGAGGGGAAATGAAGACAGTTTTTGCAGTGACAATTTAGACAGATGGGGGTTGTGTTTTCTTTGAAGAGATTCCTTCTCCCTTCCTGTTGTAAATCTGAGACAGGATGTGAAAGAAAATTTCCCCAATGCA